ATTTTTTTTTAGAAAATCTTGGTTAAAATATTTTTAGGTACCTGCATGAGATCTTTAAAAAAAGGAGCATTAAAAAAGACGCCAAACTTGACGAAAACAAAACTTTATCGTCTAAATGTTATTATTAAGAGGAAAGATCAAAGTATTTTTTAGGTATTTTTTTACATTTTTTAATCGTTCCTAACACGTCCAAAATTTTCGTTAAAAATCTTGTTTTTTTTTTTTGAGTCAGAAAAATTGACAGATAATCAATCATGTCAACCGTTTTTTTCCATTTCATAAAAAAAATGAAAATCTCAGTTTGAAATTTTTTTAAAAATCAATTATAATTTTTTCAAAACTTATTTTAAGAAAATCAGAAATTATAATGTTTATTTAAAATATTTTGAAACAAGCTTAACTTAGTTTCTGCACCAAAAAGATGTAGTTTGAAAATAGAACAAAGCAGGTCATAACAATTCGTGTTACTTGACAGGTGACGAAAGACATTTTCATGATGTATTGACAGCTTACATGAGGATAATTTATTCTACTGAGGAGAGAAGTGAAATTATTTAGATTTAAGTGAACAAATTATTTACCTTGTTATTTTTAAGGAAAACATTCAGTGCTCTATTTTTTTGTACTTAGCTTTCACCTTTATGTTTATGATGCTTTATGGAAAATATAAAGAAATTAAAATAAGTCTGTTAAGGGTGAGATTAAATTTCATAAGAAAGATATCTAATTAATTTATAGGTACCTTTCTTATGAAATTTTATCAGAAGTGTACATAAAATACTATAATTGTATGTACATTTATTACATTTTACTGTGTTATTTGTATTTCCATTCATTTTATTATTAATTTTGATACTTCATTTATGGAAAAATGTCATAACTGAGATTAATATAAAAATAAGATCATATAAATTTCATTAGATGATACTGATACTTGTAGGTACCCTTCTCAGTTGAAATTGAAAAATCAAATTAACTTCTCCACACGTTTCGCAAAAGTAAAGGCCTTAACAGTGAAGAACAATGCTTAACACAAATATCGCAACTTAATTGTAGTTTTGCTGGTCTTCCGTATGTTTTAATGACAGCCATTTTATAAACACAAAATTAGATTTCTTAATTACTATGGGTCTTCTGATTGGTCAAAACCATACAATTTACAATTCAGTAAAAAATGATCTATCTCATAAGGCCATTTACGAAACTGAATGCAGCTTTCAACTAATTTTATAATATTTTAAAAATTTAAATGTAAAAATCTAAAATAATTAAAGAAATAACAAATAATTGTATTAAAAATTCATTTTTCACCGAAAAAGTTTTTTGTTATCAGAAAATATTGTCTATATTCATAAAAACAACTAAAAGTAAATAAAAGCATTTGAAATTAAATAATATCTTTGTTTTATTGAGTTTTGTATGTGACAATTCAGAGCTGATTTTCAAGTAGAGGGGGTCCAATTAAAAAAAAAAAAACATGATTTGCTTTCCTCAAAGCCTTGTGCTTTTAACTAATATGATTGTCAAACTGAATGTGATTGAATTTCTAGAGTTTTCATAAAATTAGTTATGGGTTGGTAATAAATATAAAAAATATATTTTTGCCATGACTTTAAAAAAAAGGAAAACATATATATAATAATTTCCATCATTCATGAATAGTTTCTGAAAGTTTCCTTAACATCCGGCAATTATTTTTATTTTTGCAAGATTTTCAAAATTAATGTCTGTTATACAAAAAAAAAAAAAAAAAACGTGCTAAAAATCATATGTTATTTACAAGTTCTGGTGATACAAAGAGAAACAAGGTTTTTTAATCAAAATTTAGAATATTCTAAAAAGAAGGAAAAAATTTTTAAAATAATTAAAAAATACTTTGGTCTTTCCTCTTAATAACATAAACATTTAGATGATAAAATTTTGATTTCATCAAGTTTGGTGTCTTTTTCATCATGTTATGCTCTAATCTTTATGGCTTTTTCATGGAGGTACCTAAGATAGACTTATATATAGACCAAATATATGTCTTCCATTTTTGACTCAAGTGCAAACTGGACTTAATATTTACTTGTTTTGACTTCTGCAACCTGAACATCATGTCTACCTTTTTTATTTTAGTGCAAACTGAACCTAATGTCTACCTTTTTTTATTTTAGTACTAACTGAACCTAATGACTACCTTTTTCTCTCTAGTGCAAATTGAGCCTAATGTCTACCATTTTTTTTTTTACTCTAGTGAAAACTGGCCCTAATGTGTCCTTGTTTAAACTCTAGTGCAAACTGGATGTAGCATCCATTTTTTTTTTGGCTCTAGTGCAAACTGAACTTGAAATCAAATTTTTATATTCTGGTACAAACTACATTCAGTGGTGAAACATTTAGCTTTCTTCATTTTTTTTTTTGTTCCAGTTACCCTTTATAGGTGATTCACTTGAAAGCCATGATACCTCCCAATGATTCTCTTATGTTCAAATAGTATATAGTTAAATCTAACAAATAGGATCTACTCTTGTTAAATCAAGTTGATTTAGAAAGAGACCATTAATTTTCAAGGAGAAGTCTTGGAATCCCAATACAGCAATGAAATCTAAAGGAAGTGATGAATATTTTCATTTTCACCATGGATATTTAGAAACAAGAAATGAATTCTTATTTCCCTACTGACATTAATACACTTATAAAAATACTCAGATATGAGAATATGGCTTAGGATTGAAGTAAAGTTAATCTCAAAGCCATATTATTATAGTAGTGAGGAAAAAAACTTCCTTTCTTGTATAATTTCCATATAAAAGAAACAAGAATTTTGGAGTTCATTCTGAAAGGTCTTATTTCACAAGTGGAATATTTATGGTGACTTCCCTCATTCTGGAACTGCAGTTGAGATATACCAATCGTCAACTACTTCATTGGAATGAGGTTAAACTTCCATTTTCTGATGCCATCTTTAATTCTTCTAGATTCTACATGAGGTGTAACTGATTAAACCCCCATTAATTTTTTCACAATTTTTTGTAAACAAAAATGGCCGCTCATCCAACGAAACTTTTATTCAGGAGTTTTTCTTTGATTCAGACTCTGATGAGGATTTTGAGGGCTTTACTCAAGTGGATATTGACGGTGAAGTGGTTGAAGATCCATGCTAGTGATGTTGAGGAAAGTGATGATGATCACTAGAGGCTACTATCATCCATGGCTGACATATTTTATGGAAGCTACTGGTGACCATCAATGTACTTGATAGCCTTTCTGAAGGTGAATTATTTCATCTGTTTACAAACGATGAAATAATAACTTTCAACGAGACAAATAAATATACTAGTCAGATGAAAGAAAGACAAAACAAATGCTGGTGTCTTCTCATATGTAAACACAAGGAAGCATGTCATTTCTTTTCAAGAAATGAAAGCTTAAGCCTTCTTAGTCATTTTGCTTGCACCCCAGAACTCCACAAGGAGTAATAAAAGTTAAAGTATTGTTAATGTATGTGTTTTTTATTTTTTTTGTTTCCAACATCAAAACATTCATGCAAAATGTAATGCATTACATAATATTACTCATCCATTCTTTTATTAGTATACAAAAATAAAATCTATACACACAATACAAAGAAAGTTATAACAATGTTTTCAAGCCCTCAAAAAAATGCAGTGGCAAGAGGAACAGTTCTAGAAAAACTTTAGCATGCTAATGGTTAAATATTCTCATTAGATTGAAACTTACATGCATCAAACCCACTCAAAAATATATAAACTGCCATCTGTATACAACAGCTTTCTCAGATGAATGATGAAAAATGGCTTCGAGTGAATGAAACGTGTAAATCTAAATGATGACCATACTTCTTTAAACAGCATGGAATGATGCTACAGAATCAAAAACAAAGAACTGTGCCAAATAACAGAAACCATATCACTTGACGATTTTCAACAGCAGTAACAAACAAAATGGATATTACATGTACCTTGAGAAAGTAATGCCATAATGAAAATGTTGACATTCTACATTACTTCAAACAAAAGGTTAGGAAGGAATCATATCATCAATACTGGAAAGAGCAATAATAGTTACTGGACTGAAAACCCCCAGAAAAATTGTTTTAATAGAAAGATTTCAGCCTAAAGTAGCAATGGCTACTCAGTTAATGAATGTTGAATGCTTTCTTATAAGAAAACAGCTAATATTACCATTACCAATGGTTGGTGCATACTACCTTCAAACCTCCCAACCCAGTGGAAGCCTGATTGGAGGCCCCATGCAGTGCTTTGTGACCCTCACTAACTTATCAACATTTGCTTTTTTCTACCTACTCTTATATACATTACAAATTAAACTAAGCACAACTGACTATTACAAGATTAAAAAATTTTTGAAAATTTTGACATCATTCTGGGTATTTTTTTTCATCCAAATCCATGAATTTTTTTTGCTCATGTTAAATCTAAAAAAAAAACACTATAAAATTCACTATTTTTTTATCCATAATAATTAATGTATTAAAATTCTACAACTTTTTAACTAGAAAAATCTCAAGCTGATGTTAAAAATTGTCGTAAAACATTGTTGATTTATTTAAGATAGAGTGAGCTATTATGACATGTCACTAAATTTGTTTTTAGATACATTGTATTTATTTTCAATTTTTCTCATTGGATTTTTCACCTATATTGCATATGATCCATTATTGCACATAATTAAGTTACAAGGAAATTTGTATTTTATAGGAAATTGAGATGTAGTAGAGTCGGGGACTCTATCATAGATTGGGGGTGAGGGACCACAAGAACCTTTCACCAGTCCTGCCATTACCATTACATACAATACTAATATACTATTTATATCATATTTATCTTGAACATATTTCAACAACCTTTTATCATTAGACAAGTACATTCAGTATCAGCCATCTTAGTTCAATAGAAAATCAATTATCTGGGTAGCAGACAAAAATATATTTGTTGTCTACTGTTATTCTTTTATAGGCTCTTACATAGGAGGCCTATGACCATATCACTTTGTAAAACCAGTTCTCATATGATCACTGAAGTTAAGCAACACCAAGCCTGGTCAGTATCAAGATGGGTGACCATTTGGGAATACTAGGTACTGTAAGCTTGGATGTGAAGGTGGTGTAATGGATAAAAGCTCAGAATTGAAAATCGAAGAGCTGAGTTCCAATCCCAGTCATATTCACTTAAGCACAAATACCCTGGGGAATGGTGTGAATCCACCTTATCTCCCCTGGCTATGAGTTAATTAGTAAGACTTCTATAAGTAAATCCTTATTATCTACAAAAACCTCTTACAATTTTCTGGCTTTAAATAACCTGCAATAACCATTAAAAACTCATCAATTAATACATATTTAAAAATAAAAGGTTATTTCTGTAATGGAAAAGCCTACATTTTTACTTGTCTAATGAATCTGTTAGAATTTTTCTTGAATATTTAGTATAAAGATGAAATGTTATCTTTCCTGTTTTATTCATTTTGCTTATTAAGATCTGATAATGTTTAATAAAATTACACTTGTCTTTTTTCAATATCAGTGTAAACATTTTTACTTATATTTTTTCTATGATAAATCATCTTTTTTCTTGCAAATAGATAATACTTATACAAAAACAAAAATGCGAATTTATTAGGTTGAATCATAAATGATTTCCATAATTTGCAGTGACTTGTTTCCAGTTATCAGACAGCTCTTTGATATGTTTTGAGTAAAATTCCACAAGTTTTGATGTGAAAATTTTTTCAATGAATCCAGTTTCCATTAGAGAAAGACTTTCCCATATTTGCACCTCTTAAAAAAAGATAATAATCAGTTGGTGCAAGGTAAAGTGAATATGGCAGATGGGATAGAACAGACCAATTTTCCAAAATATTTTTACCTTGTATTGTCATAGAGGAGAACAACATTTTTCCTATTGATGAGCACAGAACGCTTTTTAACTGAAATTTTATGAGCACATTGCAGCTGCTAAGCATATAAATGTGCATTTAAATTTTTGAAGACCAAAGTTGATTGGAAAGCAAGACAAATCCACAAGTGAGAAATGAAAAAGAAGAAACTGTTAGCATAGAAGTTGTGGTTACATCTGGCCATTTCAAATGAAATATGATGAGACTTTCCCACCAATTTATTAGCACACTTAAATTCATAAAGTCTTGGTACAAAACTTATCAGAACAATTACTATGAAAATATTTGTAGAAAAGGCACAGGAAAGCTACATTAAGGTGGTGGGAAAGTGACTGACACCAAGATGCCAGATCAGGACAACTAACATTGCAGATTCTTGTTTGTATTTCATCTATTATCTCTAAATACCTAGCAGAAGCATCATAAAAATGGTTAGGATAACATATTCATCATTACAATTCATTAAAAAAATTATAATTCAACCTAAGATAATCATATTTGATTTAGTCATTCTTCATATTCAAAGAACCATAGTTTATCAAATTTAACTGAATTTGAAATATGCTGGAGTTTACTGAATACAAATTTCATTTATAATTTAAGAGATATAATGCATGTTTACTATTTTCTTTAATAGTATCTTTTCTTCATTCACAGATATTGCTGGCAGTGGAAAACATGAATTTTTCCTTGAATGATTAACATATTTACCTTAATTAAAAAAAAATGTTTACATAATATCAAACATTCACTAGAGAAGTATCCTGCAATTTTGAAATATGTGGATGAGTATTTGAAAAAATACTTGCCAAACACAGAGGAGAGAGAAAATTCTTGTGAAAAATGTGGATCTACATTTTCATAAAATTCATATTGATATAATAACTTTCAGACACACTTGATATAAATCATATCCTTGCAAGACCTATAGCTCAACATCTATGCTGAATTCACATTTAAATGTAAACATGCAGACACACACTTTAGAAAAAACTGATTTGTTGCAATTGTGTGCATCACCTTACTTAAAAAGTTCAAACTTAAAAAATCACATGCAAGCACACACTGATAATAGACCTTATGTTTGTGAAATGTGTGGATCAGCATTTTCCCAAAGTTCACATTTAAAAGTTCATATGCGTTCACACACTGGAGAGAAACCCTATACTTGTGAAGTATGCGGATCAGCATTTTCAAATAATTCTCATTTAAAGAGACATATGAGAACACATACTGGAGAAAAGCCATTTTCTTGCCAAGTGTGTGGATCAGCATTTTCACAAAGTTCTGCTTTAAAAATACATTTGCGAACTCACACCAAAGAAAAACTCTATACTTGTGAAGTGTGTGGATCAGCATTTTCAGAGGATTCAGATTTAAAAAGACATATCCGTACACACACTGGCGAGAAACCCTATACGTGTGAAAGGTGTGGAGCAGCATTTTCACAGAGTTCACATTTAAAAAGGCACCTGCGAATACACACTGGGGAGAAACCTTATACTTGTGAAGTGTGTGGATCAGCATTTTCAAATGGTTCACATCTAAAAAGACATGTGCGAACACACACAGGAGAGAAGCCATTTTCTTGCCAAGTGTGTGGATCATCATTTTCACAGAGTTATGAATTAAAACTACACATACAAATACACACTGAAAAGAAAGCTTATAAATGTGAAGTGTGTGGAGCAGAATATTCACAAAGATCTCCTCTCAAAATACATATGCGAAAACATACTGGAGAGAAACCCTTTACTTGTGAAGTATGTGGATCAGCATTTTCACAGAATTCACATTTAAAAAGACACATGCAAACACACACTGGGGAAAAACCATATTCTTGTGATGTCTGTGGATCAGCATTTTCACAGAGATCACATTTAAGTAAGCATATGCATACACACACTGGGAAAATGACCTTTTCTTGTGAAATATGTAGCTCTGTGTTTTTGGAGAGTTCAAGTTTAAAAAAACACATGAAAACACACAAGGAGAAACAATATTCTTGTGAAGTGTGAATATTAATTTTGTGATGGCTGTGGATTTAAAATTTTTTATTTAAGACAGAACTGAAAACATGCACAGTTATTGTTTTCTTAAAGAGTATATAATCTTTTCTTTTCACATATGTTCAGGAGACATCTTTAGGTGAAAAAATATATTGTGATTTTATCATTTATAATAATTCTCATTTGGAAATCATGTAGACTGAAATTTGAAAATTCACATGTAAATTAAATTTTAAGAGAAGATATTTCATTTTCACATGATTGCTATTTACACTTTTATGTGGATTTGTAAAAGTAAACTGTTTGAAATTATGGATCCTAACATATCTGTAGTTGCTGGCATAGAAGATTTTAACAACCAAATCAAAGTTCATTAGCAACAGATCTTTTTAGTATTCTTCTGTTCTTTATACCACTCACACCATAGAACTAAAATCAAAACCTTTAACTAACATAAATAATAGTTAATATTCTGCCCCCAAGAGAATGCATCCACGTCATATGTCTGCATAATCTCAAAGACAGCCAGATAAACACCTTAAGGTAATTAAAGATAAAGTTCCATTCATTGACAGGTTTATTAATAGCTAAAAGGGTAAAGCTAGAAAAAGAAATAAATACATATAAATAAAACTAGTTACTCTGGAAAAACAAACAAGCAAACAAGGGTAACAAGAAATATGACAAAGGCAGCTAGAAGCTGAAGATATAAGTAAAACCATTTGTCTAAATGGGTAAACAAATGTAGGAATACATTTCAATGTTGCGGTGAGTTCATGGAAAAGGAAGTTAGAAGATATGTTACAAACCAGCAGTGATTAACTTTGTGGGTGAGATCAGGAGGATAAAACTATGGACCATGTATTTGATGTTATGCTTTTATTGTGAGGGGCTCTCCTGATATACTAAGGGCTAACTGGAAGTGGTCAAAATGAGGACCAATCTAAAAGGTACCTAAAATACAAAAGGGAAAAACAAAGGGAAGTAAAACAATACAGTTTCTGTACTGTGGTAACAGAACAGTTAAATTACATAAAATACAAGAAATAGAACAAAAATTCAGCAAAATGGTACACAAACGAATAAACATAACACTTTTTCTACTTTCACTAAACCTGGTTCTTAATGTGGCAGTGGTTCTTTTGATCTTGTAACTACTATGTATAGCAAAAAATTTTAAATAATCCTCCTTTTGTGCAGACTTGTAACAAAGCGCAGCAGCCAGTGTTTTTGAAGTAAGGGAGGCAACTCTGCAACTCAGTGTTACCACTACAACTTGTTTTTACTGGTTTGGTTTCTAATCTGCTCTAGTTAGTTATTTGGTTACATTAGCAAGATAGCATATTTTGATACCTATGTCTTTCATGTCAAATTTGTCATTTGCAGACAAGCACAACCTTTTTCAGAAAGATTATTAGATTATTTACAAGAATAATTTTATATTTATAACATTCTAAAAACTAATATAATTGTATTAAAACAAATGCAATGCAATATTTATTGGTCCAATTAACTGCCGACATCCTAACTACCAACACTCACAGAATCAGTGAGGCTCTTGATAACAAACATACCTCGAGGATCATAGCACTAGATATCTCAAAGGCCTTTGACAAGGTGTGGCACAAAGTCTTGCTACATAAGTTCTCTGGTTATGGAATCACCAGGAGGGTCATCTTGATCTTGAAATCCTTTCCTAACAAGTAGGTCCACAAACAGCCAGTCCTCTGGAACCCTAGAGGGCAATTTAGGGGTCACTCCTCGGACCCACCCTCTTTTTGATCTGCATAAGAATATACTCAGATCAGTAGTAAACATTTATGTCTGATATGATAGTTGTGCAAGATTGGAAGAGAGATCAGTCGCCAATCTCTGACCATCGTGAGTTTTAGAGGTGCTCCTGTATAGAGATTGGCGACTGATCTCTCTTCCAATCTTGCACAACTACCCAGTGAGGTAAAAACTGGCTGGTTACATTCAATGCCTTGAAGACCAAACTAGTTACATTCCATCATCACCAATCTGACCCCAAACTACCACCAATTAGGATGAACAGAGGTCCTCTTGGGAAGCACCATGCCTTGAAAGACTGTTAGGCATCACACTCGCACCCAACCTAAAGTGGAACTCATACATACAGTTTATTGCTATGGTAAAATGGTTGGTTCTCTGTACTGCTCCA